AGCCAAATGTTTAATAACATCAGACAGATTTCACTCTTCTTATCTCAGTTTTGGCACTGTATGTCGATCCATTACTACTCTGAAGACAATTTAGAGGTTGTTGCATATTTCACAGGGCTTCACAGGGCAGCACAGGCCAAATAAATCTCTTTTGTGGAAGCAGGAATGCAAGGTTTTGAAGACTTTGATATGTGATCTGTCTAGATGAACTGTCTAGAGGCGGTTGAAAACTGAAATCTGTTTACAAAATTCATTCTATTATTGCGATACACAGATTCCCAATTCAGAGTGAATAGTTTTCTAATCTTACCAGGCTTGCTCTGTTGACTTTAATCAGTTTTCAGAGTTCTGACAGATAATAAATGGGAAAAACGAACAGCAGACATGTAAAAATCGTTTTTTATTGATATTCAAAAATATATAAACATTCATTACTTTTATTTTAGATACTGTGTGTATTATATATCCGTGTTCACCATACATCTTAGAATAGTATTTATGAGAAATATGCACACAGAAAACGGCACATTGATTTGTGAAAATAAAATCTCTCTGTGCTTTTTTGTTAATTAAGGGATAGCTCACCCAAAATCAAAATTATGGCATCATTTACTCACAGTCCTATTGTTCCAAACCTCTCTGACGGTTGGAACACACACATATTTTTAAAAGTGTTTTTTCTCTTCATACAATGAAAGCCAACAGGGTTTGATATTGTTTAGGACTCCACTGACTTTCACTGCATGTACAAAAACAGTCAAAACAGTCAAAACATTCTTCAAAATATCTTCTATCTGGGCCTAATCTCAAATTAAAAATTTGTTGTAGATCTGGGTCTCGGCTTACAGTCTCAGACTGCATTCTATTTCTAAACTATGGGGATAATTACAGATGGACACAGTATCTTCGCCATTTCATTCAAAAGAATTTCATGGCCTGAACAGCTACTTAGTCACTTTTCAAATCAGCTTAGTTTTTGACGTGAATGCTGCAATAAATGTAGAAGTTTCCTTTAATAATAAAGGAAACTTTAATAATAAAATAATAATAAATACATTTTAATAATAAATGTCAGACTTTTTGTCACACATTGGCTTCAGAAGACTTGAAAGAGTATGAGTCACATCTGCAATACCTTTGTGTCTTTTGAAAGCTCCACATTAACTATAATTTTCTTGGAAATGAGCAACCAGTGCTTTAAAAAAAAAAAGAACCTTTTGCGTTCCGCTGAAGAAAGGAATTCAGTAACAGGAAACAGGGGCTTATTTTAACATGAGCTAAAACTACAAACTACAAACGCTACTCTACACTGCTCAAAACTCGCGTTTGAATCGACAGTTGCTATTAGAGCATATAGTCAGAATGTAGTGCTAACTGGAGCAGGAGAGTCCCTGGAGGCTTTTACATTTAGCCATCAAAACTCAGATTTTCACAGCCATTACACCTACAAAGCTAAGACACATGAACACACGCATCATTTGACAGAGAGGCCCACTCAGCCAACGAAGCCTTTAACATATGTTCAAAGCGCTGAGTAATGCATATCATATACACTCATGTAGAAACACACATGTACACGCAAGACTTTTACATTTGCCTTGCCCTTGAGGCAGTCATGGATGATCTTCACCTACTAAACAAGAATACAACAAGGCAGAAAGACAGCATCAGAGAGCAGAAAGAACACGAGCAGAGGGGGGAGAGACAGTGAGAGTGAAAGGAACAGGATTAATGAAGGGAAAGAAAAAAACTGTAGTTTTCAGTATGAGCAACCATTCTGTATAAAAGCATACACACAAACAGATCATGAACTGTCATATCTTAAAGGGGTCATATGATGTTGTTAAAAATAAAATTATTTTGTGTATTTGGTGTAATGAAATGTGTTTATGCGGTTTAAGGTTCAAAAAACACATTATTTTCCACATACTGTACATTATTGTTTCTCCTCTATGCCCCGCCTTTCTGAAACGCGTCGATTTTTACAAAGCTCATCGGTCTGAAAAGCAAGGTGTGCTACAGATCTTCTTTATGCACCAAGAGCTTGTAACACTCCAAAGAGAAAGGAAAAATTGAAATCGCATCATATGACCCCTTTAATAACAGTAAATATATGTGTGTGTGTGTGTGTGTGTGTGTATATAAACGCAGAGATTTTATTCATTATATTTAACTAATATACTTTACATGTAATATTAACACATACAAATATATACTTTTTTACATTTTCATTATTATATAATTTCTCTCTATATATAATAAAATTGTAAAATAGGTATAATGTAAAAATGTGTATAAAATGATGTCTTCATGTCATTTTTAAGTCACGTAAAATGTTACAAATATTATGGATAATTGTATACATATACTGTTCTGCCTTTTATATATACATTTATTATTTATATATGAATATGTACTAATGTTATTGCTAAGATAATCTTAAATTTAGTATTGCACTGTTCAAATAATATTCTAAATAACTGAAGATATAGTGCTCATATATGGGTGACACAGGTTTGATTCTAGTCTGCAATATATCCTAATGCCATTTCTTGCTTTTCTTAATAATTTCCTGATATTATTTTTATTTACGTCAAGTAAAAATGCAAAACCTCCAAGATAAAACAATAAATATTACACAATTATCAACTTCCCTTGCCGTGTCTTCAATACACACTGGCTCTTCTCCAAGACTACTACAGCATTTCCAAAGAAGTTTTTCGAATCACGAATATGTAAACAGCATGTTTGTTTGTGTGTGTGTGTGTGTGTGTGTATTATTCCAAAATGGACAGAGAAAGAGAGAATGACAGTGAGTTACAGTAGCGCAACAGAAAAATTGCATTACAGAGCCTCGCTCTCTTTAATCTGGGCATTGAGGCCTGATGGAAATTAAATAATTGTGTCAGAAACATTGGTAGCTCTATATTTAGCCAGGACAATCCAGCCCCATACAGAACACTATCCTGAACTCTCTCTCTATCTCCAGCTGTGCAGTGGAGTGAAGTCCATCTCTAAGGAGCAGATGTGGAAAAAACACCATACACACACCCACAAACAGGAATAGTAGTCAAAAACATCACAAACGCTGCTGTCAAAAAAAAATAAAAAATCATAGCGAAGTCCTTATTTACTAGACAGGCTTTCATTACTTAAGCGTTTCATTCATGCGCTTGAGAAACACGCAGCTCTCACGCTTGCAACCTCAGCTACACGGTACTCTTGAAGTATTTCAAGTATTTGGATGATTATATTGTCAGTCTTGACATGCAATGCAGTATTATTTTGTCTATAGAAACACTGCACTTATCACTTCTATCTTGAAAAGCACATGCAAACACACATATTTTGTGTATTGTCCAGATTGCTGCCAACAAAACAGTCTGAAGCTTGTAACGGCAATTCAGAGTGATAAACAGTATATAACATAAAATTGTTCATATAACTGCCTGAAAGGCCACTGACGCCCATTATTTTTCCCATCGCTCAACATCTCTTCATCTCACAATAAAAACACCACAAGCTTATGTGGTTAGCATAGTGATTGCAGCCAGGGCCAGCACATGATCTACTGACACATTTTACAGCAAGGCCTCCCAGCAGTTTAACTGTAATAATTAAACTTGTTAACACTCCCTTCCCTGGGTGCTGCTTGAGGAAGCCTAAGTCAAGGGATACTAGTGTTACTATACTAAGATCCTAAGTGTTGAAAGGTCAACATATGTTGTGATAGACAGTATAAGATACTATGAAATTAAAACAAAAAGTGTGTGTTATAGTTTCTGAATGTCTCACCCCTTCCAGTGTTTTCAGGCTCCGTGCCTTTTTGTGTTCTTCCTTGGAATGTTTTTTTTAAACAATGATATGGGGTTGTAAAAATTTAAGCAAAAATAAAACACTGAAGTATTAAACATTAAACATAAGAAATTATCCCATTTTCAAGACATGCATACAGTGTGTTGAATGTGTGTGTAGCAATAGAAAGAATGTTTATAAATACATTACAGGTACCCAAATAACAATGTGGGAGCCTTGTTCCTTCGCGGTGTTCTTGAGATAAAGTTTAGTGTTATTTTAGCGCATGAGAGAGTAAAACTTTTAGATAGGCCAATGCATAATTCATGTGCTGTCAGATATAAAATGCAAGAGTTGTACTGACAGATTAAAAGCCAGTGCTTGCAAGTCAGTTGTTTTCTGATGTGCAAAAGACATAAAATGTCTGCTTTACAAGAAAGACTGTCTCATTATTTATTTCTAGTGAGGAGAAACACACACTTCCACTGTTTATCAGTCAAAACCACACAACATACAACACATAGCTGAGGTGCACATGCTCTGGTAAAATACCTGTTTGCTAATGTGTTACTAACACAATTTTAAGTTTTGTTTTTTTTAGTTTTCACAATTCAGTCTTCCCTGAAAAGCATGGCATCTTGCAGAGAGTCCAACAGCATAATATGGCCTACATTAGCTGGCAGTAGTTTCCTATGGACCAAGAAGCACAAGAAAGTCCATGTGAACAGTGTGATGGACACAATCTCATTCATGTTGTACAAGCCAACAGAAGGATCATATTATTGTAAAATGTGGTCCTTAACAATTCACAGCAAGTTAGGGCACAGGTATGTTAAGAAACTGTAAGTGTATGTCCAATAAAATTAATTCACCCCACCTTCATTTTGAAGAGATGCTCTATGTGACTATACACTGACCTTAATACACACTTGCATTTACTATTAGGCTACAGAAGAGTCAGAGAAGAAAGTGTTGAAGTCAAGAATGTGAAGTCAGCCAGAAATCATCATTAGGATAAGAGCATGCATACGTGTATGGAAAAGAGGAGAAAGAATAATCCTGACTGCTGACCCCCAAATAGCCTTTTTAAAAATAATCAAGATTATGGAAACCCCACCCCTTTTTTTGTCATGAATGATTATATATAAACAAAAGAAAGACAATTAGTCAGTGAGGATTAAAATTAAACATAAGCATCCATTTACCCTCTTACTGCATCAAATCCAACGCAATGTGAAAACGCACAATGATCTGTCATTCCTGCAAGCCGTTCGTTGTTTCCATGCGGACCACGTATTCAAATAAAAAAAAGATTCGCTTTGACATTGAACATATCCGTTTCTTTTTGCAATAATGCGAGAGCAACCCCTCAGCCAAAGAGCAGTCTGTGAGGAAAAAAACGGGAACCGCAAGAGGTCTTAAATCGCGTGTAGCTCATGGGCGTAAATGATAGCGTTGGGAAGACCGGTTCATTCTAAAGAATCGGTTCGTTCGGATCTCTTATCTCAACAGTCAAGGCGATTCACCAATTAGTTTCATAGCTCATAGTGCTTCGGAAGCCCTAGCGCGATGTTTACGAGTGTTTATATTATTATGTTTCCCAACAAATTATATGCATAAGGCTGTTTTTGTTAGCCAGTAATTTTGTTGTAGCCAAACTTTAATGGTAGTTCTATATGAAAATAAATATTCTAAATAAATAAATAACATATTAGAAAATAAAATATTATAAACATTAAAATAATAAGAAACTGTAAAAAAGTGTGATCGTATATAAAAAAAAATAATAAGAATAAAATAAAATAGAGGAGAAAGGTGTCACTTATCTGCTGATATTATATTTTATAATAATACATTCTATTATAGTGCTTTTTTCTTTCAAATTTAAAACATTTAAAACATGTTAAAATGTATAATAAAATAATATGAATATGGACTAATAAATGTTTTCCAATGGTCACTTCATTGATGATAAAATATATTATTATATTACTTTACCCAGTTGTAAAGCTATATTTAGTTCATTCTTTATTAAATGTTCTATGTCAGTGAATTCCTTTGCTCTGCTGCTTCGAGAACTGAATCATTAAAACGAACAGGCTCAATAGAATGATTCAATTGCGAATCGGACATCTAGGCATGGATACACCACCCAAGTCAACGGAATGCCAACCATGTGCTTTAAAGATTTAAATACATCCGATAAACACATCAGCAAATAAATAAACATGCACTCTACTTGGTGCGCGCGTGATCCACCCAGCAGCATTACTGAAGGCGACTCGATGTCACAAGACACGAGATTAATGAGCATAAGGAGTCATCCCAATGCACATTAACAAAATATGTTTTTGTTTTTTTAGTATTAAAGGAAATATTACAGAAAATGTATCTAAACGTTGTGTTATTTGTATTACAATATTACTGCATTATAAATTACGGCTTAATCTTTGACGTCTCGTCAGGAAACATCATGATTTTCGTTTTAACCCTGTCATAAGAACTAATCAATACTCTTTGAGCTACAATGACTTTAATCTGTCATTTTACAGACAGCAGCTGCATGGGCGTGAGAACTTTAACAACATGCATCCCAGGGTCTTTCAATGCAAAAGGTGTTCACTTGTATTTAGATCAATGCAGTGAGCACAAAAGAATAGACAATAGGTACAGAAGAAACTTACCCAGCGGCTACGCCAACATCCCCGATAAAACGATCTGATGATCAATACTGTAACCAAATTTACCCACTATCAGGCATTGCGACCAATCTGACGGCAGTAATGGTAGTATCCTTTACAGGCGGAGCACACAGGAGATGCACTTTGGCAGAGGAGGTGCGGGACCGACTGAGACTCATTACAATGAGCTGCGCTAGGGGGAGTTATCGCCTCTAATTAGACGTGTGTGTGTGTGAATGTTGTAAATTTGTACGTGTTATTAACACTTTGGCATATAAAAAAAACCTTTCACCATGCAAATAAAGCTATTTGAATCGGAATCACTAGTTGCTAACTAATTTATGCATTAGAGTGGATTTTTCCTGATTTCAGTATATGCTGTTTTTCGATCCCCAAGTGCAACCCATGATAGTGGAGGCAAGGTGGAGACAAGTTACCGTCTTTAAGTGTGAGGAATTGAATCATTCATGCAAGTCCTTCATTCAAACACACGTCCTAATTCAGAAACACATCAAGTGACCTTAGTTTTGAGTGGGTCAGTGGATCATGCACTGAACCGATTAGTTCAAAGACAGTGATTCATTTAGGAACTATAGCTACTTGTGTGTTGCTCTGAGACATGTGGTTGAATCTGATTATTCTGCTTGGCTTCGTTTGGATCTACTTTGTCTGCGCGCCTAAATTAACGAAGTAACTGGCAGTTGTGTCAAAGATTTAAGTTAGGGTACTCTATATTAATTGTTTGTTAAAGGGGTCCTATTATGCTCTTTTACAAAGTCTTGATTTTGTTTTGGGGGTGTACTAGAAAATGCTCTCATGCTTAGTGGTTCGAAAAACGCATTATTTTTCACATAATTTACATTATTACAATACCTTTCTCCCCAGCCTGGCACAAACGGCTCGATTAGTTCTGGGTTTTAATGAAGGCCCGCCTTTCGAAAAAAACGAAATGTGTTGTGATTGGTTAGCTGGGTCTCATGCTTGGTGGATCGAAAAACGCATAATTTTTTACCTTTCTCCCCATCCTGGCACAAACGGCTCGATTAGTTCCGGGTTTGATGAAGGCCCGCTTTCCGAAAAACGAAATGTGATGTGATTGATTAGCAGTCCCAGTACGTTGTGATTGGCGAACAGCTTAGACGGTGTTTCAGTACTGCCACGCCCCTTGCCAAAGCAGCAAGTTCCGTCTGCTCCGGTATAGTTAAGGATGGCGTCAATATTGCCATATCAATTTCAGCTGGATTCAGACCCCGAGAATATTGAGCAAGAGGATCGCGCAGAACCTTTGCACACATGGATATTGCAAGACATATTAGAGTAGAAACGTTATTGCTTTTTTTTTTCTTTTTTTTTTTTGGCTAAATCACATTTTAGATAGGATGTCAACAACTGCTTAAAAATAACTGTATTTACTATGTACAGATAAGTGCATATGTATTGTTTATTGTTCTTTAATTCTAATATTATAACATGAATTGCAGTGAAACTGTTATACACGCACAAACGCGTGTCTAACGTGTGTTACGGGTGTTTTCGGTAACTTACAGTGACGGAGAAATGAGCTGCGTGTCATCTGAACGTTTTAGATCCCATCAGTTTTCCACCGGAGCCGCTCCCATCAGTTTTGTGTTCTGCGGGCGATTCAAATGGTCCGCTCTCCACCCAAATTTAAAAGCTGCTGTTGGTTAATGAAGATTTGACGAAAGAACTCGCGGCTCGATTGGATCTTGTCGTGTCAGAAAGTGATAAGACTTTCAGTTTTATGGACATCGCCATCTTGGATTTTACTTTGGTCACTGTCACTATGGTGTTATCTTTATAGTTATCGTCCTTGGTGTGAACGGGCCTTTAGACTCTATTTGCGGTGGCATATATATGCAAATTCATTCTCTGCCAGCAGGACGCGCTGTTGGAGTGGTAGAGATCAAGGTTTCCCTGGTAACCGCTGTACACAAAGCAGCGCTCAGCTCACAAATGCCACGTTCACACAGCAGCAGAATACAGTTGTCAGTCCTGTTTTTGAGTCCTTAATACGGTTACGTTCACACACAGTTCGGTTATTTACGGGCGTGACAACCGCATTCTGTAACCGAACTCACACCCATAAATTTTCAGGACTCACAACCTGAAAATTCAAACCATTCTTGGTACACACGCGCTGTGTGAACGGAACCGGACTGGACAACTAGTTGTCTGTCACATCATACAGTGCGAGAGAGAGCCGCTCTGCCGCACAAACGCGTGTCTAACGTGTGTTACGGGTGTTTTCGGTAACTTACAGTGACGGAGAAATGAGCTGCGTGTCATCTGAACGTTTTAGATCCCATCAGTTTTCCACCGGAGCCGCTCCCATCAGTTTTGTGTTCTGCGGGCGATTCAAATGGTCCGCTCTCCACCCAAATTTAAAAGCTGCTGTTGGTTAATGAAGATTTGACGAAAGAACTCGCGGCTCGATTGGACCCTTGTCGTGTCAGAAAGTGATAAGACTTTCAGTTTTATGGACGTCGCCATCTTTGATATTACTTTGGTCACTGTTGCTATGGTTACTGGTAAGGAATTATGGGCTTGACTCCCGTTGCACGTTCATACCAAGTGGCAACCTTTCGGTCTCTCTCATGAAACCAACACGGAAGTGACTAAACCTGCAATTCATCGACTGGCCGCTAGAGGCTGGCTCCAAAAGGGAGTCAGTCCCATAGACTCCCCATGTTAAAATGCCCAACTTTACAGCAGAAAAAAATGTTTACAGCCTGGTACAAAAAGTGGTTTTGATTCATATAGCTAATTCAGTCAGGATCTCTTAAGTCAAAAAGAAACCATAGACAAGCATTTAAGTCAACTTTTTTATTAGCATGTTTACTAAAGTTACATTTGGCAGTATGGCTCTGTTCCAAGTTCCCTGTCCTTTTCATGAGCTCCATGAAAGCCAGGATAGGGAAACAGCAGTCGCTTCAGGGGCAACCCTCCTATTTTAAGAATAGGAGAATAGCACAAAAAACCCCAGAACAGAGCATGCAACAATGACAACAGAATGACATTGTTTAAGTTAAGCACAGTTAAAGGAGGAGATGGGGAGGAGGTGGGTTGCAAGCAGCGTAATAGAGGAAGCAGCAAAGCAAGCAGACAGAAGCCGTGTTTAAGTAAGGCGTCCTGTTTGAGATTGGCCAATTGCAAGCTTAGGAGTCGGATCAGCTGATAGGGGCCGGGTTTCAATTTCGCCAGTCAGCTGATAGCGGAGCTTGACTAAGAGGCCTGCCTGAACTAACGCAGGATGCTTGATTTTTGCCCTTCATGACAACTGTGAGGGGGGTGAACCTACGGGTGACGTCACGGACACTACGTCCATGTTTTTATACAGTCTATGGTTCATACAGACAGTATTCTAAACACAACTGTAAGCTGCTGTGTGAACAGGACATTTCGAGACTTACACCTGTAAAGAAAATGCAGTTGTCAATCCCAAAAACTGACAGTGTGAACGTAGCCTTTAAACGCTGCTTTATCAGACATTACATGCAAGATGAAAGGAAAATGACATCCAATTTTCTGAAGACAGTCACAGTTACAGTGATATAAAAACACCCGCACTCAATGTATGTCAAACACGGGTGTGCCTCACACGTCCTGAAAAGTGAAGTTGGGGGCTCTTTGATCGCCCCCTGGTGGCTGGCTGCAGTACAGGTCATAAACCCCGCTCTCTCAATGTAAACGAATGAG